GGCGGGTGAACGTTGATTCTTAATTAGTACGTCATTAGTTTTTTTTAATTACCAATGAATTGGGTAATCCTTGAGCATTGAAAAATGCATTATATCCATCTGCTAAGGAATTACAAGTGATTTACCATCATCATTTGTTTATAAATAATATTTTCCGGCTGACAACCTATTGCTCCAGTTCGATTCAGTTTGTAATTCCGCTTGAAATAAGAATAATCCCGCCATGACCGTCACCATTGCCCCAAAGTTAGAATTTTTTATCTTTCCCTGAATATTGGATTCTAAATAATTTTTTTCAACCACAGATAATACATTGTCAAAATGGCATTGGGAGGAACATTTCGAATCACAAGTGGATTCATTTAATAAAAATAACATACTCGAATTCCTGAGGCCAAAATTAGTTATCCTCACAAAAAAAATAGTAAATTTCGGATTTGACGAATGCAACGTTTCCACTCGGAGGCAAAAATCCCATTTTATGATGAAGAAATCAGGAACAGCCAAATTCGTAATATTTTATTACGGTTACTTTTGTAGCCCTTAATTAGATAACATCACTCTTGAAATTTTTTGAGTACGTAAGTATCATCAATTCAAATACTCAAATTTTCATCTATTTTATCAATCAATAATTTGAATTATTCACTTAGTAGTAAATTTACAGTTTCATATTAACAAATTTTAAATATAGGAGAGGATGGGGCAAAACGGCCCCCCTTCAATCGTCAATATTTTCCGATTCAATAATCCGATTGGGATGAGTTAGAGCTCGTTTTGAAGAATGAAAAATTATCTTCAAAATGAAGTTGAAACTGAGAATTTTCACAATGTCATTCACAAGTTATTGACAATTGAAGGGGGGCCGTTTTGCCCCACCCTCCCCTATCATTATTCGTAAAAAATCAGATTATTGATATTACATTATTTGAAAAATGGAATCAGCATATTTTAAACCTTCAATAATGTAAGGGTCAAATCCTTGTAATAATACAGAAATTTGATATTGATGGGGATCCCTGGAAGAAATATGCACCCGCTGTTTATTCGCTCCTGGTGGTATGTATCGTCGTACAGTAGCCGCAGAAACATGCATGTATGAGAGCCATCTACACATAAAGCCACTCGGTTGAGTCCACATAAGGGTTGAATAGTGACTAGAGGCGAGCAAGACACCCTTATATGTTAGGGCGTGGCCAGGGTCCACCAATCACAGGATGGAGCCATACACTCACCCCTTCCCCATCGCCCTCCTCTCCCCCCCGAACGACTCCAAATCGAATTTTTCTTACGAGAAATTTCATGCGATACGTTTGCAACTCATGGAGTTGAATATAACATGCGGTTGGACGCCAATGCTGCGCTATTCGATATCCCAAATTTCATTTCATCGAAATTCTGGAATGCACTCGTCATTCCCAGGTGTTTGATTAGCGTCTCCGCGAAATGTCCTAATGAAGTGCGAGTTTCATCGAGAGGAAAATTTTTTTCCAGCTGTCCTGGCAGGATATATGTGCCGGGGAATGAGAGGGAGCCCCTGGAGAGGACACGATGCCTGTATTTAATAGCCCTCGTATTACTTCCGAGGCTGTTCACCATTAAGAATCCCACAAGACTACCTCCCCCATCCCCAATTATGCTTCACCCCCTCTCCACTATACCCACACATTATGCCCCTCCACTCGGGGCGCAGATCCATGTATCTTTATCCAACCTTTACCACCTCTAATGTTTCTAACCCATGTACTTTTCGGCGCACTATGTACAGAATCTTTGGGATGGCTTGCAGGTAAAATCATTAGGGGCATGTGTGGATCTTTGCGCAGAAGCGGCCACTGCTGGCACTGGCATCAGTGTTAAGCCACTGAAAATGTCAATTTTTTATTGTTGTCACTACAAAGTTTTTTATGTCCGGAAGTTTTTGGAAATCAACAGAGATTTCACATGAGGTGCTGGGATTTTTAAGACTGCAGAGACATTTCAAGCTGTCGCACAAATATTGCATTTTCATTTTCATTTTATTTCAATTTTTTTTTATTTATAAAACTCCAAAAAAAGCGAGACAAAAAAAAACAGTGGCACCAAAATATCACCAAACACTCAATCTCATTTGTTTCTTCATTAATTTTCATGAAAATACATTTAAAAAAACAAAATACCCATAAAAATTATTTTCATTTATTTCAATAATTGTTTACATGTTCAAAAGATACATATTCCATTATAAAACAATTATTTTATTGTGAAAGATAAAAAACAAAACCAAGTTATCACCAAATATTTAATCCCATTTATTTCTTCACTAATTTTCATCAAAATGAATTAAAAATAAAATAAAATACTCATAAAAAAAATATTTTCGTTAATTACAATAATTGTTTACATTTTCAAAAGATGCATATTCCTTCATCAAATCGCCAATGGCGAATAAAAAAATATCCACTTGAAACGTAGAGAATAAAACTGAACATAAGAGCGTGAAAATAAAATGTTTGGTAACTCCCCCAAATCTTTGTGTATTCATTTTGTAGAATTGCGTTGCTCTCCTTACCACATGGCTTATATACACACCAACAAGAGGTTGTTTCAAAGGAGAAGAAATGCTTTTCCATGCGGCGCTGCTTAAAATTCATAAGTTGCTGTGTTTACTTACTAAAGATACGCGAAGAGCGAATCTTCTTTCTCTCTGTCTTTCTACCCTACCCCCTGCCGCTTTCGCTTTCCATCTCCCCCATTTTACCTTCTACCACTCCATACCGCCACCTTGTCGCGTGCTTTATCGCTGAAAATAAAATTATTGGGTGCACTCTTTCCGGGCATTTTCAGGTGAAAAAGAGTGTCTACATATTTATGGGTTGGGGGACAACATGAAGACTGCGAGAGATGAAATAGAAATAGTCTTCGTCAGGCAAGACTCCAGAATTCATTGGTTTATCCCATTTTTTTGTAATTCCCAGAACAAAATTATTTTGCACTGTTGAGAATTTCTGGCTGAAATTTCTGGCACACTTCTCGGAAATTTTTATCACGTTGTGGTTTCACTGCATTTTCAAAGAATTTTTAGTGAAGTCACAGCGTCACTTTGCACCCTTTACCCGTGCTAGCACGGGAATTTTTATAAAGAATTTCCGGGTGCTTTGAGACTTTTGAATGTCTCGCTTTGAGACTTCGGAAAGACTCGTCTTGAGACTTTCGAAAGTCTCAATTTGACTTTCAAAATTACTTGTGAATACCTTAAGTTAAGACCCGCGGTTTCAATCTGAGATTTTGAAAAGTCTCGATTGGAGACTCCGAAAAGTTTTAACTTGAGACTCTTGAAGGTCTCCCTATGAGACTCTTAAAAGTCTCACCCTGAGGCCTTCGAAAGCCTCAATGTGAAACATTTGCAAACCTGAATTCAGTAGCGAAGCGGTAAACCGGGTCAAGTCGATTTTGACTATTGGTCAGTTTTTGACGAATATCTGGGAATCTAAAAGAGATAGAAAAATTTTTGTTACGACCTTTTTTGTAGAGTCAACTGAGGATTATAAAAAAGGTAATGAACAAAATTTTGCTATCTCTCTTAGATTCCGAGATATTTGTCAAAAAATGCCCAAAAGTCAAAATCGACCCGGTTTACCGCTTCGCTACTGAATTAGACTTTTAAAAGTCTCAAATTGACGTAATAACTCTCAAAATAAACCTCGTAATTTTTAGATCCATCAATAATTATCCCAAAAACCCCTGCAGTTGTGCGGTTCTCGAGGAGGAAGGATAATGAAGACTAATAAGAAGAGTAGAACGAAGAACTAGAGGATAAAGAAAAGCGGTAGTTCGGGGCGAGGGAGACGAAGTGAAGGTGGAGAATGGAGAACTTGTTGGAGAGGAATTAGAGGAGAAGATGAAGAGACTGAGACGAAGGTAGAAGGGTTTAAGTTTGCGGGGTTGCAACGCTCGGGATTGTTTCGAAGCCCATACACGCGCATACATCTATTTGACACATATAGAACAGTGAGGAAACATCTTAGGTGCGGTAGAGCAACCAATGCCGGGAGGGTGAGCGAGGGAGAGAGGGACATATACGTGGGGAACCCTCTGGAGCAGCCATCTTGCCACAAACTTGACTCCGACCAATCAGCGTCGAGGCTGTGGTCACCGTTGTACTCTAGGACCCACTCTGAACTCATCCACCCTCACTCTTGCTTCACTCCCAACCCTTTAATTCTAATCAATTTACTAGCTCGTAAGACAGAAATGGAGCTCGGGGAGAGGGATTTTGGGGCTGTATTGGTGCAAGAAAATCGGAGGACCGATATAGCGTCTTTGAAAGGGCGGAGTGTGTGGCTTCTGTGGCTTTAACTTATATCCTGTGATGCATTTTCAGGGTATTGTCGAGTCATCTTATTTGAGGCGCACTGGGGTAATTCATGACACAGAGAAAAAACAAGTGGGAAATTGGTTTTATACTAATACAGTATGATTTTTTTGCTCGTCAATCTGTTTCATTAAATTCAATGAAATTTTTTATTCAATTATTTGAGTTATATTTTTAATTCAGTTTCATATTTGATGACATTTTAAATACGAAATAATGTATATTGGAAGGGAAGTCAAAGTAGGTTGATTTAATTATAATTAAATCAATTTTAATCTTACTTCATTTTTTATTCAAATAATCAGTCGAAGTAGATTTTCCAAAAGATGGAAAATCAATAAACTTTGAGTGCTATGAGAATAATTTCCGAAATTCTTTCGTAAATCGAATGGAAGAATGATGCTATCTATAATATAGAATCCAAAGAATTTTTTAAGACATCCTTCAATGAATTAACAACATTTTTTTTTGAGTTATGGTGCAACCGATTTTTTTTTAT